GGGGTAGGTGTAGGGAGAGGGACAAGCAGACTCCTCACTGACCAGGGAGTCCAATGCGGGGCTCGATCCCAGGACCCTGGGATCATGACCTGAGCTGAAGATAGACATTTAACCAACTCAGCCACCCAGGCGCCCCAGGCGTCCGACTCTTGATCTCAGCTCAGGTCTTTTTTTAATTTTTATTTTATTATTTTATTTTTTATTTTTTTAAAGACTTTATTTATTTGACAGAGACACAGTGAGAGAGGGAACACAAGCAGGGGGAGTGGGAGAAGGAGAAGCAGGCTTCCCGCAGAGCAGGGAGCCCGATGGGGGGCTCAATCCCAGGATCCTGGGATCATGACCCGAGCTGAAGGCAGATGCTTAATGACTGAGCCACCCAGGCGCCCCTATTTATTTGTTCATCGGAGAGAGAGAGAGAGAGCACAGCAGGGGGAGCAGCAGGCAGAGGCAGAGGGAGAAGCAGGCTCCACACCGAGCAAGGAGCCCGATGTGGGAGTCGATTCCAGGATCCTGGGATCATGACCTGAGTCTAAGGAAGACACCTAACTAGCTGAGCCACCCAGGCATCCCTCAGCTCAGGTCTTGATCTCAGGGTTGTGAATTTGAGCCCTGTGTTGGTCTGCACGCTGGGCATGGAGCCTACTTTCAAAAAAAAAAAAATCACTGATAGAGATTATATAAATATTTCATTCCTTGTTAGACTTTTAATTTATTCATTTATTTATATTGGTTTGGACTGGGGTTTTTTTTGTTTTTTTTTAAAGATTTTATTTATTTATTTGAGAGATAGAGAGCATGAGAGGGAAGAGAGTCAGAGGGAGAAGCAGACTCCCTGCTGAGCAGGGATGTGGGACTCGATCCCGGGACTCCAGGATCATGACCTGAGCCGAAGGCAGTCGCTTAACCAACTGAGCCACCCAGGCACCCTGGTATGGACTGTTTATTCAGTGAATTATAATCCACTATTGTTACTATTTATTTTGCATTTATGTTATCTCAGATTTGGCCTTTGGGAGCCCTTTAAGCTGTCTTCTCTGTTTTCTTGTATTATCGTCCCTGGGCACTTATTTGACTTCTGGCACAATAGGATATTGCAGGCTCGTCTTGTACTTTCTAAGCTCAGAGATCATCCATGATTCCTTTTAGTGGAGAGAAAAATATTTAGAAACCAAGATATTGTACTAGATGTGATCGGAGCTATTGGAATGTCTCTGCTACTTGTCTCAGCAGACAGAATTAGGGAAACTACCTATCTATATATATTGAAATCCATGAATTTCAGTTGAATTTCTGTCTCTGCAGACCCACCATCACTAGGTTCATTCTAGTTTTCCCCTTTCCATGTTTGTGACTCCCTTCTCAGAGAGTGAGAGATCTTGCTTCTCACTCATCCTGTATATATTTATTTGATCGGTTCTCCTGTGTGTAACCATTCTTCCATTGCTGGTGCTGCCCTCTCATTCTATTCCAGCTTCCCTCCGGTGTGGATGCTTATACCTCCTCCCCACCTCCATGTCTTTAGGGCTAAATTTTTCAGGAAAGGGACTACTTTGCTTTTTAGCTTATTTATTTAGATTTTATTTATTAATTTATTTAGAGTGTGAGCAAGGGAAGGGGCAGAAGGAGAGAGAGAGAATCTTAAGCAGGCTCTGAGTGTAGAGCCCGCTCATTCTCATGACCTGAGGTCATGGGTCCCTTGACCTCAGGGTCATGGCGAGAGAGGAGACACAAGCAGGGGGAGTGGGAGAGGGAAAAGCAGGCTCCCTGCTGGTGCAGGACTCATCCCAGGACCCTGAGATCAAGACCTCAGCTGAAGGCAGACGCTTAACAACTGAGCCACCTAGGCGTCCCACATAGTGTCATTTTAACACTAGAAAGAAAAATAAAGTAGGGTCAGAGGTGAAGAGAATGAAAGAGGTGGTATTTGAAGTACAGTGTTCAGGTAGTGCTTCTTTGAGATTATTCGAAGAGAGACCTGAGTAAAGACATTGAGTGAGAATATCTGGGGGAAGAGCATTCTTGGCAGAATAAAAGTGTAGAACCCTATGGTAGGAGCATATTTAAGCTTGTGGAAGAAACATTCAGGTGGGTGGGACTGGAGCTGAGCAGAAAGGAAAAGGAGTAGGAAATTGAATAGCTTGTTTATGAAGGTCTTTGGCCATTAAATGGAATAACTGATGTCAGTTGACAGTGACTTTACCATATGCATTTATTAAACTCAAAGATGAGGGTCTTCATTATACATAAATATTTAAAGAGGGGCTGGGGCGCCTGGGTGGCTTAGTCAGTTAAGCGTCCAACTCTTTGATTTCTGCTCAGGTCATGATCTCAGGGTCATGAGAGCAGGCTCAAGTACGGCTCCAAGCTCAGCATGGAATCTGTCCTTCTCCGTCAGCTCTTCCTTGTTCTCCCTCTCTCTTTCTCTCTCTCTCTCTCAGGTAAATAAATAAATAAAATCTTAAAAAAAAAAAAAATAGGGTGCCTGGGTGGCTCAGTTGGTTGGGCGACTGCCTTCGGCTCAGGTCATGATCCTGGAGTCCCGGGATCGAGTCCCGCATCGGGCTCCCTGCTCAGCAGGGAGTCTGCTTCTCACTCTGACCCTCTTCCCTCTCGTGCTCTCTATCTCTCATTCTCTCTCTCTCAAATAAATAAATAAAATCTTTAAAAAAAAAATAGTTGCACACTCTACCGACTGAGCCACCCAGGTGCCCCCGAGTGCTATCTTTTTTTTTTAAGATTTTATTTATTTATTTGACACACAGCGAGAGAGGGAACACAAGCAGGGGGAGTGGGAGAGGTAGAAACAGGCTTCCTGTGGAGCAGGGAGCCCGATGTAGGGCTCCGTCCCAGGACCCTGGGATCATGACCTGAGCCGAAGGCAGACACTTAACCGTCTGAGCCACCCAGGCGCCCCCGGAGTGCTATCTTTTTAAAAAATATTTATCTTGGGTCGTCTGCCTGGCTCAGTCTGTTAAGCATTTGCCTTTGGCTCAGGTCATGATCTCAAGGTCCTGGGTCCTGGCTTGAGCCCCACATGGGGCTCCCTGCTAATTAGCGAGTCTGCTTCTCCTTCTCCCTCTACCCCTCTCTGCCTGCTTGTGCTTGCGCTTGCTCTCTCTCAAATAAAATCTTTAAAAAATTATCTATTTCCTTTTATTGTCTAATTTTAGCAACAGAAATAACAGTATATTCCTGAGTAGAAGTGGTAGTTCTAAGGATTTTTTTTTTAATAACAGCTTTAAAATGTACAATTCAGTGATTTTTAGTGTATTCACAGAGTTTTGCAACCATCACTACTATCAATTTTATAATATTTTTATAATCCCCAAAAGAAACCCTCTTCCCATTGGCAGTTATTCCCCATTCCCTCCTCGTCCCAGCCCATGCAACCACAGATCTACCTCTGTGTTTGTAGATTTTGCTGTTCTGGATGTTTCATATAAATGAATCATACAGTGTATGCTCTTTTGTGACCAGCATCTTTCACTCAGCATAATGTTTTCAAGGTTTATCTATGTTGTAAAATGTCATCAATATTTCATTCCTTTTTATGACCAAATAATATCCCATTGTATAGATACACCCTTTTGTTTATCTCTGTTCATCAGTTGATGGACATTTCGGTTGTTTGTAATTTTTGGCAATTACGAATAATGATATTATGAACATTTGTGCGTGACTTTTTATGCAGGGTAAGAGTGGAATTACTGAATTATATGATAACTATGTTTAATACTTTGAGGAACTGCCAAACTGTTTTCCACTGTAGTTGCACCATTTTACACTTTTATTAGCAATGTGTGAGGGTTCCAGTTTCTCCACATTCTTTTTTTTAAAGATCTCACCTATTTATTAGAGAGAGAGCCCAAGTGGGGGGTGGGAGGGGCAGAGGGAGAGGGAGAGGCAGACTCCCGACTGAGCCGGGAGCCCAACATGGGGCTCTATCCCGGGACCCCAAGATCATGACCTGAGCTGAAGGCAGATGCCCAACCGACTGAGCCACCCAGATGCCCCATCCACATTCTTTTTTTTTTTTTTTAAAGATTTTATTTATTTATTTGAGAGAGAGAGAGAGAATGAGAGATAGAGAGCATGAGAGGGAAGAGGGTCAGAGGGAGAAACAGACTCCCTGCTGAGCAGGGAGCCCGACGCGGGACTCGATCCCGGGACTCCAGGATCATGACCTGAGCCGAAGGCAGTCGCCCAACCAACTGAGCCACCCAGGCGCCCCGCCCCATCCACATTCTTGTTAACACTAAAATGTTTATTGACTTTTACATTTTAGTCATCCTACTTGGTGTGAGTGCCACCTCACTGTGGTTTTGATTTGTATTTCTCTAATGACTAATAATGTTGAGTGTTTTTGCATGTGCTTATTGGCCATTTGTATATCTCTTTGGAAATATATTTGAATGAATCTTTTGTTCATTTTTAAATTGGGTCATTTGTCTTTTTATTGTTTAATTGTAAGAGTACCATATGTTTTACTGTATTTCTTAAAGTATTTTTATTACTTTGGTTGGAAGACTAATTTTTCCTCCTCTTATTGGAAGGTCCTGTCCAAAATGCACTGATGTCTTCACAAGTGTCAGTGAACGAAGGATATAATTCTCAGCTTCCAGGATCCTACCCTCGTCTAATACCAGCAAAGACATTGAATCCAGTCTCTGGACAGTCTAACTATGGTGGTTCTCAGACTGTTTCTCCGTTAAGTATTTATCAGGGACCTGGGCAGACTCTTTATAGACCACCTGTGGCTTCTAATCCAGTGACACCTTCACTTCACAGTGGTCCTGTTCCCCGAATGCCACTACCTACTTCTCAGAACCCAGCTGCTACACCAATGCCTTCTGGTAGCTTTCTTCCTGGAGCCATTGTACAACCACCTTTGAATTGGCAGTATAACTATCCATCCACAGGATCACAGACAAACCATTGTCCTCGTGCATCATCCCAACCAGCTGTATCTGGGAATACAAATTTGACAAGTCATCAATATGTTTCTTCTGGAGATCCTTCACTTCAAAACAACTTCATAAAATCAGGTAGAGTTCATAATAGGAGTGCTTGCTATGTAGAAATGGGAAAATTTTGCCTGTTTAGATGTTATAATTAATATTTCAAGACTTAAAGCCAAATGGAGGACTATTGGTTTTCTAAATCATTGTTAATCTTTAAATAAATTACTTCTCTAACCTTGAGTTAACTTAAAATCATGGGTTTGCTTCTTACCTTTGAAGGTATCCTCTGTGTTTCTTTGAGTCACCCATGATATTTCAGGGAATTAGGTATGCATGCAGAACCACTTCCTTAAGGATTTGCCATTACTTTTATTAACTGGGTTCCATCTTAAGCTCAATCCTTATGGTCTCTTTTTTTGGTCTTGGTCTGAGGCTTGGTTATCTTTTTGTTACAGCTTAGACTGTTTGGTCCCCAGAAACTGTAGGATCCTGGAGGGGCAGGTCAGAGCAGACAATAACTTTTGTAGTGAGGAGTGTTATTAGCAGAACTGCAGTCAGAAAGCAGTGGGCAGAGATTTATATTTATTTTTTCTTGTAAGAGTTTTATAGTTTTAGCTCTCCTATTTAGGTCTTTGATCAATTTGGAATTAATTTTTGTGTATAGTGTGAGGTAGGGGTTAAACTTCATTCTTGTGCATGTGGGTATACATTTGTTCCAGGACTATTTGATGGAAAGACTGTTCTTTCTTTTATTGAATGGTGTTGGCACCCTTATTGAAAATCAATTGATCATAAATGTAAGGGTTTATTTCGGACTCTGAATTCTTTTCTATTGATCTATAACTATCTTTATACTAGTACCAAACAACTTGATTACTGTAGGTTTGTAGTAAGCCTTGAATTTGAGAAGTATGACTCCTCCAACTTTTTTTTTTTTTGAAGATTTTATTTATTTGAGAGAGAGACAGAGAGAGAATGAGCAGGGGGAGGGGCAGTGGGAGAGTGAGAAGCAGACTCCCCACTGAGCAGGGAGCCCCATGCAGGGCTCATCCCAGGACCCCGAGATCATGACCTGAGCTGAAGTCAGATGCTTAACAGACTAAGCCACCCAGGTGCCCCTTCAACTTTGTTTTTCTTTTTCAAGTTTGTTGTGGCTGTTCTGGGTCCCTTGGCATTTCCATAAAATTTTAGGATTAGCTTGTCAGTTTTTGCAAAGAAGGCACCTGGGGTTTTGATTGGGATTGTGTGGATTTTGTACATCAGTTTGTATATCAAAGTTTGGTTGTATCTGGTTCACAAGTAAGTTCATTTAACCATTTCACTGTTCCTATTTAGCTCTTAAAATTAGTGTTTTGTACACTTGACAAAATTAATAGTGTTACTTTGAAAAGCATTTAAAATTCTGTATTGAGATCTGCATGTTGATTCTGTTGTGCCAACATCCTCAAGGAAATGAACTAGTAAAAACTTTAGTTACTTCTAGAAAATTGGTTTCTTTGTAGAAATCTTCTGAACTGCAATTGTTCAAACTGAAATCCATCTGGTTACTTTTATTCTTATTCATTTGGCACCATGAGTGAGCATCAATCACTTGAAATTAATGAATTTTCATCTCATTATTGATAATTATAGGTAACATTTACTGAATGTTTTTATTTTCCAGCATTTTGCCAAACTTTTATTTGTGGTATCTTATTTAATCTTCACAACAGTTTCTTTTACAGATAAGAAATGAGGCTTGAATACTTTGCCCACAGCCACAAGAAAATAGTTTGGGAAAAGCTACTATTTAAAAACTATTTAAGAGTAGGTGTAGCTTCTCATTAAAAAGCACATCAATAATCTGAAATGTTTTTGGCTGTCACAAGCCCTCAGGTAGAGGGCTACACCACAGATGTGGTGAAAGAGACATAAGCGAGTGACAAAACTTAGGAAGTTTCTTATATAAAAGGAGGGGGAAGAAAGATACATAAACTAAGAAAGTGAACCTTAAATAAATATATGACTACCCTGCTTTTTTCTTAGATACGTCTAAAAAAAATTCATTTTTTAACACTTCATTGGTAGTTGGTGCCTGATTATCTGATCTCAAAACTGTATCTATGTTAAACTAAGTTTCGAGTCCACATATTAAATGTCTCTTACTTTTTTCCTTTTTTTTTTTTAAGATTTTGTTTATTTCAGAGAGAGAGAGAGAGAGAACATGGAAGCATGAGCAGTGGGGGAGGGCATCAGAGGGAAAAGCAGACTCCCCGCTGATCTGAGAGCCAGATGCTGGGGCTCGATTTCAGGACCCTGGGATCAGGACCTGAGCCGAAGGCAGACTCTTGACCGACTGAGCCACCCAGGCTCCCTATCTGACTTTTTTTTTTCCTAATAAGCAATCTTTTAACATCCTTACATTAGCTTTAGGGATCTGGAGGGCAGGTTCTAAAACTCTAGCTATTAATGTTACAAATAAGAATTATTCAACTTGAGGGGTGCCTGGGTGGCTCAGTTGGTTAAGTGTCTGACTTGGTCTGAGCTTAGGTCTTGATCTCACGATCATGAGTTCAAGCTCTGTTAGACTTCACACTGGGTTTGTAGCCTACTTAAAAAGGAAAAAAAAATATTCAGCTTGAAAAAATGTCTATGAAATGGAGCATGTTGTGGTTTCAAATTTTTTTTTTCTTAAACCTGTGAAAAATCTCTATAAGCTCACTTGTATTTTGTTAAACATTAGGTTGTTACACCTTTGTGGCCAGATGTATCATACATTCTTGCTCATGCTGAGTTGGTAGTGTACCTTGTCCTTTTGTACTTTTGACTTGTCTGTATTGCCATGGATATGTGTCAGTGCTTCCTTGATAAGGGAGTTATATGGCAGTAATCTTTGTCTTCAGTTGTCACTAGGGCACTGATTTGTCTTGTTGGGAACTGTAAGGTTCAGTAATAACGATCATTTTTCATTTTGACCCTGGAGAATTGAACAGTATTGAAGAAACATTGAAAATTTTCGTATCTTGGTATCTTTATCCCCTTACTTTTAAAAATCACAAGGTTTTACAAATACAGGTAGAATATAAATAAAATTCATTTATTATCTATTTCACTTAAAAATTCAGAGGATTAAGGGCGCCTGGGTGGCTCAGTTGGTTAAGCGACTGCCTTCGGCTCAGGTCATGATCCTGGAGTCCCAGGATCGGGTCCCGCATCGGGCTCCCGGCTCGGCAGGGAGTCTGCTTCTCCCTCTGACCCTCCCCACTCTCATGTGCTCTCTCTCTCTCTCTCAAATAAATAAATAAAATCTTTAAAAAAAAAAAATTCAGAGGATTAAGAAAAGTCCTGGAATGAAAAATTAAATCACATTCTTATCGGTAGTATTTTATCTACTTTGTAGACTTTGTTCCTCCTCTTTGACAAATGAGAAGGTGGGAACAATGTTGTTGACTTGAATGAGCAGGTGGTGTGGGTTTTGGAACTTTTGATATCACAGAGAGGAATTTCCCCAAAAGTAACTGACAATGTTTTTACACTCATCAGCACTTACTGTCCTAATAGAAAATGGGTGAAATCAAGGCAGCGAGATACTGGTAGATACAAGTATAAATACTTGTCATTCTTAGTTTGGTTTGATGTGTAGTGTTAAACATCTCAGATATCAGTGTTTTATAAAGTATATACATTAACTTTGTATCATTTCCTGATTTTTTAAGCCTAGGGAGTGTTCTTTTCCTTCTTTCCTTCCTTCCTTCCTTCCTTTCTTTTTTTGATTAATTTTTGTGAGATTAATAATTGTGAGCAGGGGAGAGGGACAGAGTAAGAGGGAGAGAGAGAACCTTAAGCAGGCTCCAAAGCTCATTGTAGACCCCCACGTGGGGCCCGATTCCAAGACCCTGAGATTATGACCCAAGCCGAAATTAAGAGTCAGTCACTGAACTGACTGAGCCACCCAGGAGCCCCTAGTTTGTAACTTTAGAAAGCTGTCAACCTAATTAATGTTAATTGAATGGACTACATTAATAGGACATTAATAACATTTTATTCATGTTAATTTCTATTGGAATATTTGACATGGCCTTGTTGAACCTCTGTGACCAGTTAATAAAAATTAATCAATAAACAGGGCATTGTATCTACCCTATAAGTGATTTGATGCTGCTTTAATAATTGACTAATTGACAAGAAGCATGTTAAATAGATTGTAAATGTGTAAAGCATGCATATAAATTAAAAAGTCATAAACCTGAGCAGGTAACATATTTCTGGTAATTTGTTAGTGATTTTAATTAAAATGTAAATTTGGAAGTTACTCATATTTGGTAAAAGGCTGTTTTGTCCTTTTTCTTAGTTCTTAAGTGACTTGTGAAAAACTGATGTTTCTATAGGTTCTGCACCCCCCTTAGTGAATCCACCTCTGCCTACCACTTTCCAACCAGGAGCTCCTATTGGGCCCCCTCCAACTGGAGGACCACCTCCAGTGAGGGCACTCACGCCTCAGAAATCATCACATAGAGCTGTGCCCCAGCCCTCATATAATTCACCTGTCAACCAAGAAGGTAAGCAAGGCAAAACCAAGTCAAATCTAAAGTTTTGACTCAGGGTGGAAGGATGAATATTATTTGAATTCTTTGCATTCGGATAATATTTTTTCCAGAAATTTAGTTGTTCCAGTTAAGGCCTTCAGGAATTCAGAGTTTAAAAAAAGCTCCTTAGAATTCTAATACCCTGTATTGGGCCTAGCACTGGGGAACTACTGCTGTTATCTTTTTTTGTTGCTGGGCAGATTTTAACAATCATGGCTCTAAAGTTAGGTGCCTTTTGGCAGAGGAAGGTGAGAGGAGAATTTCTGCTTTAGAACTGTCCTTTTGTTCTGTGTTAGAACTGTCCTTTTAATACATTGGCTCTTTTCCATGGAAGCAGTATTTTGTTTTCTGCTATTATTGTAAATATTAACAAATATTTATCAGCCTAAATAAAAAGTAAACTATGCAAGCATTTTGAAGTTGTATATAAACGATATATATATATATTTTTAAGATTTTATTTATTTGACAGAGAGAGTGAGAGAGGGAACACAGCATGGGGAGTGGGAAAGGGAGAAGCAGGCTTCCTGCTGAGCGGGGAGCCTGATGCGGGGCTCGATCCCAGGACCCTGGGATCATGACCTGAGCCGAAGGCAGACACTTAACGACCGAGCCACCCAGGCACCCCTAAACAGTAAAATGTTTTAAAGCATTGTCTTCAGATACAACTTTAAAATATAAGTTTATTAGTTTCAACACTATATTTTGTCAAGTAGGAAATTGATTTTAGCAATAACCTTAATGCTGGGTTATGCAGCAAATGCAGCAAATGCAGCAAAATGTGGAAATAGGAAAACAGAGGAGGGAAAAACCACTGTCCATATCCTACTACTGAATGCAATCAATATTATTTTTGTTTTTTCTTCTATCATTTCCTTTTTTTAGTATTATATAAGTAGGGAAAAGAGTGACCTGTGAATATTTTGAAAGAATGGTGTTAACAATGAGTAACAAAATGGTAATGTCCCACTGTTGGCCACATTATAACTTCGAAAATCAAGCTACAATAAATACTTGCATTTTTAACCAACTAAAAATATGCCCAGGGTGCCTGGGTGGCTCAGTTGGTTAAGCGACTGCCTTCGGCTCAGGTTATGATCCTGGAGTTCCGGGATCGAGTCCCACATCGGGCTCCCTGCTCAGCAGGGAGTCTGCTTCTCCCTCTGACCCTCTTTCCTCTCGTGCTTTCTATCTCTCATTCTCTCTCTCTCAAATAAATAAATAAAATCTTTAAAAAAAATAAATAAAAATAAAAATATGCCCAGTGTTTTTGTTTACTTTCTCGCTGTCTCTCTCTCTGTCAAATAAGGAAAATCTTAAAAAAAAATAAAAACAGTTTTATTAAGGTTTTCTGTATCAACTCATGGTTAAAGTCATGGTGGTCTTGAGAACTGGAAAGAAATTAACTGATTTTATCAACTATTAAACTTACCTATTTGGTGTTAAAATGACTATTAAAGTTAGCACCTTGGTACTTAGAAGCTAAGAGGTTGATGCTATTCACTAATTTTAGTTTCTTCTATACCTGACTTAGAGCTCATAAATAGTAGAGGTACCTAGAAATAGATTTTAATTCATAAGCAGATGTCCCTGGCATTTATCTTTAAATCTTTAAATTGGGGGGAAAACAAGTTAAGATTTTTATTTTATTTTAGTAGTTGTTCCCTAGAATAAAGCAATCATTCTGTTAACTTATATCACCTTCAGATTAATTCTAGATTACACTCTTTTCCTTGTTTTGAAAAAAAAAGTGTTTTTATCCTCATAATTTATTTTCTCTTTAAATGGTACTGATTTTGATGACTTTTTTTTCAATGTGTACTGTTCTTTAGAGGTTTTTAATGCTGCTCTCAACTGCTGAAATCTTTCAGATAGTATGTAATTTTATAAACTGCGCAAAGGACCATCTGTTTTAGAAGTTTGTAAAATTATTTAAAACTTTTATATATTTTGAATATTTAAAAACATGCATTATTTGAAATTTTTATTTCAACATTTGACATTTTTCCTGGGCTGTGGGTTAAAGTATTTGGAAAGTTATCTTAAATTTTAGACATTAGCACTCAAATCTTTCAGAAATTGTAATAATTGTTCTAGTTTATATTGTGATAAACTTCTTTTTTAGGTATTACATCAAATACCAACAATGGATCTAATGTGGTTCACAATAGTTATGATGAAATTGAAGGCGGTGGCTTCTTGGGTGAGATGCTATGAAAGTTGTTTTTTGTTTTTGTGTGTGTGTGTGTGTGTGTTTGTTTTGTTTTAGTATGTGTTCGTTATAGGAAACAGTGAAGAAAACTTCATAATCATGTCACACAGCAGTAACTCATGGTAGCATTTTTTATCTCCATACCTTTAGATTTTTTGTTAGTTTTTTTTTTTTTTCCTTTAATTGGGATCATGGGCTTTGTTATTATGTTCTGGCTTATAGAGTATTTTTATGAATTAAATCTGTTTAAGTGTATTTAACCAGTTGAACATTAATATGCTTTCATTGACGTTTTGAATTAGAATTTTAGTCTGAATATAATGTTTAGTAAATGACACAAAAGTAAATTAACCATACCACGCTTATTTTTGTTCATACAAGCTTATTTTTATGTGTTTTTGGTTATAGTCTACATTAACTAGATTTTAATCATTGCTATTTGTTAGTAGTGTTTGTCTTACGTTGCAAATTTGATAAATGAAAGTATTAAATTACCCAAGGGATTTTAGTGTTATAATTCAATGGATGTATATGTTTATTTAAAGTATTCTGGAATATAAAATAGAATTTAAAAGTTACCTTGTTTCTAGCAACACCACAGCATGCTAACAAGAATCCCACTATGAGTGTTGGGTATTCATATCCCTCCTTACCACCTGGTTATCAGAACACAGCACCACCTAGTACAACTGGAATGCCACCCTCTTCCTTGAATTACTCAAGTGGGCCACAGGGCTTTACTCAGGTAAACTTTTTTTTTTAACCAGTTTTCCATCTTTTGATTTAAACTGTGTAGACATAAAAGTTTTAGGAAGGTGTAATGAATACTTTTAACCAATTAAAATAATGAATATTTCATAAGACTCGTTTTATTATATATCCCCGGAACCAAAAAAAATTGACCAGGAAATCTAGATTAGTTTTGTTATTTAGAGAAAAATTAAGTAACCAAGTCCTTATATACTTCTGTTTTCAACTGAAAATATAAAGGCTACTTACTTTGAAATTATTTATCTCTAGACTCCCTTAGGTGCTAATCATTTAACTGCAAGCATGAGTGGATTAAGTCTACATCCAGAGGGACTAAGAGTTATCAATCTTCTTCAAGAAAGAAATATGCTTCCAGCAACACCTTTGCAGCCTTCTGTTCCAAATTTGCATGAAGATATCCAGAAACTCAATTGTAACCCAGAGTAAGGATTCAAATAGCATTTCTTATTCACTATGACATTTTATTCTAGAAGTTTTGGATTTTTTGGGGAACCATGCTATTATGAACAAGCAGTACAAACATTAATTTATGAAAATAGTTTTGCATGCAGGAAAAAGATCTTTGTTAATTGCTTACTTGATATTTGAAATATTCTAACTCAGGAAATAGGGTTGTAACTTCTAGGCTGATGACTGCTCTTATCAGCCCTAATGGGACTATGACAATATCATTGTGGTGAATACATTTTTTTTTTTAAAGTCCAACATATGGGGATTTGATTCTATATAATCCTTTATTTGCTCTCATTTTAAATTATTTTTCATAACAAACGTAATACTCTTTTGTCCCTTAAAATGGATCATTAGTTTAAATGTATGTGGTGATGACTTTCTGATAAATTGAATTTTGTTATTTTTCAACCTTCAACAAAACTGATCTTTTCATTAATAAACTTAAGCTTGCATTTGTACATTTGTGTCATCACCTTTTAATTCCATTATAATCTAAATTTATATAAAGAAAAATAAGGGGCGCCTGGATGACTCAGTCATTAGGCGTCTGCCTTCAGCTCAGGTCATGATCCCAGGGTCGTGGGATCGAGCCCCGCATTGGGCTCCCTGCTCCATGGGAAGCCTGCTTCTCCCTCTCCCACTCCCCCTGCTTGTGTTCCCTCTCTCGCTGTGTCTCTCTCTGTCAAATAAATAAAATCCTTAAAAATAAATAAATAAATAAATAAATAAATTAAAATCTTTAAAAGAAAAGAAAAATAAGTCATTTGTTAGTCTGGGCTGCTTATGCACAAGCCAAGCCAAGAAGAGACTATTTTAGTTATATAATACCGGGTTGTAACTATCCAACCTCTCTTTCTGAATAGGACTTAAATATTTAATGGGATAAAATTTGAGAGGGCCTATTGAAAAGTTTCTGTGTAATTTGATCCATTGTTAAAATGTGTACCTTTCAAATTTTTTTTTTTTGCTCAAATATAATCAAAGCAACAACTGACACATGATTCTTTTTTTATGATACATGGTTTTTACTTTGTTATAGGTTATTTAGATGCACACTGACTAGTATTCCTCAGACTCAGGCCTTACTGAATAAAGCCAAACTTCCTTTGGGACTGCTGCTTCATCCTTTCAAAGACCTAGTGGTATGTTTCACTAATGAAAGTAAATGTCTAATGGAAAATTATCTTGGTGATGAGGAATTTTCTACAGTAGTGCAAGAATCACATGTGGAATTTATCTGAGCTATGTTTAGGAATTTGACCATTGACAGGTTCCTTTATTTGTAATTCAGCCATCATTTTTATTACCAAACACTTCAAAATGAGGTAAAATAAGCCAATTTTTGAAAAATTCAAGAGATACTGAAAGGAAATAAATAAATGAACCATGCTATTTTAAAAGTTGTAAATTATTTGCCCATTTAAAATACCCAGTCTCAGGGTGCCTGGGTGGCTCAGTTGGTTAAGCGACTGCCTTCGGCTCAGGTCACGATCCTGGAGTCCCAGGATCGAGTCCCACGTTGGGCTCCCTGCTCAGCAGGGAGTTTGCTTCTCCCTCTGACCCTCCCCCCTCTCATGCTCTCTCTCTCTCATTCTCTCTCTCAAATAAGTAAATAAATAAAATATTTTTAATAAATAAAATACCTGGTCTCCCAGTTCTGCCATTCTTGGAGTAAATTTGTTGCTTTCGCGGGCTGTTGCTCTTTCCCTCTGGGGAAAAACAAAGAAGCCCTTCCACTTTTGTCATAAGGCTCTGGGACCTTGACATACTCTTGGGAGGATCAGTACATAAGTGAAGTGACTATCCCAAAACAAATTTATATTAAGACTTTAGAACTTCTAGTATGTAGGATAAACTTTAAATAGGAGCATAATTGCAGAGTTTAATTGAATACTTAAATATAATTTACCCTTATTTTATGACTTTTCATGAGAATTTAGTAAGCCTCTTGGGGCGCCTGGGGTGGCTCAGTTGTTAAGCGTCTGCCTTCGGCTCAGGTCATGATCCCAGGGTCCTGGGATCGAGCCCCGCATCGGGCTCCCTGCTCCGCGGGAAGCCTGCTTCTCCCTCTCCCACTCCCTCTCCTTGTATTCCCTCTCTGGCTGTGTCTCTCTCTCTCTGTCAAATGAATAAAATCTTTAAAAAAAAAAAAAAAGAATTTAGTAAGCTCTTAATGTAAAATGAAGAAAATTCCTGATTTACTCGGTCATTTCATTGGCCATTTACCATCCATCTCAAAAATACATTGGATATTTACCATGTTGGTTTTATAATATAAATGTTTAATGAGAAAATACTTTTTAAAAGGCAGGATTTAATGAGAATGTTCATGGAGAAAAATAGTAGTTTTTAAAATCAATACATTTTAGCTATGTAATATTCTTGTGTGACAGTTTGGACACCTTTTTTAACCCTTGGTTTTTTTCTCCAAAATTATAGTATCCCAGAAGTTACTTGAAAGGTATGAATTAGTATTTGGCCTTTAGATGTGATGATCATTGCCTTTAAAAAATTAGTTCTTTTTTTTTTAGCAATTGCCTGTGGTTACCTCCAGTACAATTGTGAGATGCCGCTCATGCAGGACATACATCAACCCTTTTGTCAGCTTTCTGGATCAAAGGAGATGGAAGTGTAACTTATGTTACCGAGTCAATGATGGTATGTTTTCTTTTTTAAACATTTACCTAAATTTCAGTTTACGTTTTTGGGAAAGCAGATAATATGAAGTTTAAAAAAAAACAACCAAAACCCAATACCCTTTCTTACTTACCTATAATCCTTCTACTCAAAGATAACTTCTGTTAACTTTTTCTACACATTTATACATACATACATACATACGTGTGTGTGTGTGTGTGTGTGTATAAATACTTATATACTTTTTGAACAGAAAATGTGGTATTCTTTTTTTTTTAAAGATTTTATTTATTTATTTATTTGAGAGAGAGAGTGAGAAAGAGTATGAGAGGGGAGAGGGTCAGAGGGAAAAGCAGGCTTCCCGCTGAGCCGGGAGCCCGATGCAGGACTCAATCCCAGGACTCTGGGATCATGACCTGAGCCAAAGGCAGTTGCTTAACCAACTGAGCCACCCAGGCGCCCAGAAAATGTGGTATTATTCTGATACCACTTTTTTACATTTATTATATTGGGTATATAATAAATGGCATATTTCATGGTATTATTTAAGCCTATAATTTAAGAAATATTTTTATTTAGAAATTGTCCCATGCCTTTTCTCTAGGGTGAAAGATATAAGTCCACAGAATAGCTGCCATTAGATACATTCACTGCTGTATGAAGGGAGGTGGGCAGTGCTAGAAGATTAGTTGAATGTAGTTTTTTCAGTAATTGAGGAAGAGGAGATCTCTCTCAGACGTTGCTTACAGTCTGTGTTTAAGGAATATCATCTAACCTAAAAATCTTTAAAAAAGGCGGGGGAGCGCCTGGGTGGCTCAGTCGTTAGGTGTCTGCCTTCGGCTCAGGTCATGATCCCAGGGTCCTGGGATGGAGCCCTGCATCGGGCTCCCTGCTCCACAGGAAGCCTGCTTCTCCCTCCCCCACTCCCGCTGCTTGTGTTCCCTCTCTCACTGTGCCTCTCTCTGTCAAATAAATAAATAAAATCTTTAAAACAAACAAACCTTATAAGGAATATCACCTAACCAATAACACTTTATTAGGATTAGAGAAGAAAAAGGGTATGCTTGATATCCACATTGAAATTTAGGTCTCCGGGATCCCTGGCTAGCTTGGTCGGTGGAGCGTGTGAGTCTTGTTTTTGGGGTAGTGAGTTCAAGCCCCACGTTGGGCATAGAGCTTACTTAAAAAAATAAATAAATAAATAAAATTAAGAAAAAAGAAAACTGGGTCTCTGTTTGAAAGGAAATTTCATTAAGCATTGGGAAATGGGGAATTTAAGAGCTTTTTAAAAACCATTCTTATGTTTTTTAGGAGTAAAGTGAGCATAGAGTAAGAACATAATTTTTATTCTCTAATAAAATTTAGAAAATGTATAGTGTTTGGTATGCCTTTAAAATCTTATATATATATGTGCTTCAGTATGTGAAATAAAGTTATAAATAAAGGTAGAAGTCACTTTAATATGCAGCCCAGACCATTTTATGAACTATGGCTTACTCTTTAACATATGTAGGAATTTGAATTTCTAAACAGTTAATGGGAAGACAGATGCAATGCTAATTTAGAAAATATTCTTTGAGCACTAGTATATTATTATAAGTATAGTATTGTGAAGTATTTTTACCATGGCTTTGTAGGGTCAGCCAGAGTCTGTACATTTTGTGTCAAATGTTAATATTTGTGTACCGTTATGAAATTTAAGACAAAATTTAGTGTCACATTTAAGATAATAATTGGTATTTAATGAATTTTTATCATCCTTTCAAGCTGTTTTAGGAAAGCAATTTTAGCAAGAATTAAGACAAAGAGTATATTAGAAGGTAGGAAGAGAAAAATCACTGTGATTGTGGCTGTAAAAGCAAGACATACTTAGTGCCATTGAGTGTGGGGGAAACTTGAACTCAAAAACAAAGTATATTTATCCTTTAATATTTAGTCTATATTGTCTTATCTGTAAATCCTCAAAATAAGAAAACCACTAAATGCAAGATATATCACACTTAATCCTTTCAGTTTTATCATTGTATGTTGTTGACTTATAGTTCCTGAGGAATTCATGTACAACCCTTTGACTAGAGTTTATGGAGAACCTCACAGAAGACCTGAAGTTCAGAATGCTACTATTGAGTTTATGGCTCCTTCAGAATACATGGTAAGCTTTCATTTTTTATGTAGCATATTTATTAAACAATGGGCTTTATTTTATTTTATTTTTTTAAAGATTTTATTTATTTTATAGAGAAAGACACAGCGAGAGAGGGAACACAAGCAGGGGGAGTGGGAGAGGGAGAAGCAGGCTTCCCGCTGAGCAGGGAGCCCAATGTGGGACTTGATCCCAGGACCCTGGGATCATGACCTGAGCCGAAGGCAGCCGCTTAACGACTGAGCCACCCAGGCGTCCCTAAACAATGGGCTTTAAGTAAAACACTGTAGCATCCTTTAACAAAATTTTATGTTTTTAAATTTTATAAGTTATACTTGTTCATTATAAATGTAGTTAATTAGTATATAAGAGTAAATTTGAAAAGTAAAAGTATATGTAAAATTTCACCTATGTTTCTTGTGTATCAATCAAGAAATTTGTAATATAATACCAGGATCATATTTACTTTTAAGTCACTTCCAATTTTTTTCTAATAATGCCGTGATAAACATTCTCTTGCAAGTACTATTACACACTTGTATGAGAATCTGAGTTCTTGGCATTTTTAAAATAATAATTATGCCTAATGTTTCATTAGCACTTTACATTTTACAAAGCACTTACATATTTTTGATCATTACAAACAACTGTCTGAATTAAGCTAGGTGAATGCTGTTAATCCTTTTTACAGATGTGAAAAGACTTAGGTGACTTGCCAAATATCCTTTAAGTAAGTGGGAGACCTTGCATAAAAATCCATGCTTTTTGATTTGGTTACTCTTTCACCATGCCATAATTGCCTCTAAATAAAGGGAATATGAAGATAAGACTTAACATCTAACTTTTTATATTTTATTTTACCTTGTTATGTTTTTGTGGGGTAATCTCTGGGCAATGGGAAATAGAAATTATGAGAGTTCATTTTCACCACAGAAAAGTGCAGTGTAGAAGACAGTTTTGTGACACTTAAATGGTTGGTAATAGTTTTCCGTAGTGTCTCTTTGTTGAATTAAAGCCAAAAAATCAGAAGAAGCATCTGTTCTTTTGTATTGGCCTCCTGGGGTGTTTTTTTATCTCCGGGGATTTGCAAAACTGACTTCCTTTATATTTGTAAACTTACCTATTGCAAGCTGTTTTGCTCCTCCGCTTATCTCTTAGGTGACATATGCTATGAATCTGGCAAGTGGTCTGTGCAAAAAAATATAAAAGTTAGTACACTCCAAAAAAAAAAAGTTAGTATACTACATGCCCAGTTCTCATTGTGGTTATTTGATGCTTTTTATTGACTTGAGAACAAATCTTTGAGTTTGGAATTTTAAAATATAGTTGTACATTTTTATGGATCTTGACTAAAATGTGTTGGTTAAGGAACCAGCTCAGGCTAACTTGATTTGTCACTTTCACAATTGTAATTTCCCTAAATTGTGAAATATAGTGTACATGTGGAAAAGTCTATAAAACATAAATGTGTAGGTCACCAAATAATTATAAACACCTGTGTTAGCACCGTGCAGGTCAGAAATTGAACATTGCCAATATTCCCAGAAGCCTTCTGACTACATTTTCTCTCCTTGTCCTAGAGAAAAACTCTTCTGACTTAGGGCAATCACATCTTCATTTTTCTTTTTTTAACTTTGCATCTGAAAACAATATAATATGGTTTGCCTATTTTTAAAACTCCTGTTATTTCTATATTCTTTTTTTTTTTTTAAAGATTTTATTATTTGAGAGAGAGAGCGAGAGAGAACATGAGCACAGGGAGGGAGAGAGGGAGAAGCAGACTCCCCACTGAGCAGGGAGCCCGATGCGGAACTCGATCCCAGGCCCCTGGGATCATGACCTGAACTGAAGGCAGACCCTCAACCGACTGAGCCACCCAGGCGTCCCTCTATATTATTTTCTTAATCCATTATTGTTTATTAGTGTCTCCATTTAATCTGTAAATAATGTTTATTGTTTTGTTGTAGGTGGATTGGACAGATGGTAAGTTTAGATTTAATCCTGTTAAATGTCTTTAATGAGATCTTTCTTTTCTTCAGTTACGACCACCTCAACCTCCAGTGTACCTCTTTGTATTTGATGTATCTCACAATGCAGTTGAAACTGGATACTTGAATTCAGTTTGCCAGAGTTTGTTGGACAATCTGGATTTGTAAGTATCTTAATTCAGCTTAAATTTGAAACTAGCAGTGTTTGCAAAATGAATAGTTTCAAAATGCAAAAAAATGCTATATATAATTATGTTCTAAATGTCCATTTAAACTCGTTTGTTAATTTCAGGTCTCGCTCTCTCTGAGAAACATAAATTTATCTAATCCTCCCATACACAAACATATTTTTCCCCCTTGAGTATTTTCAGTCAAATCTCTGTCAGCCTATCTTCTTACCTATAAATAATTGCAATTATTATTATTATTTTTAAAGATTTTATTAGAGAGGGAGAATGAGAGAGAGAGCACGAGAGGGGGGAGGGTTCAGAGGGAGAAGCACACTCCCCGCTGAGCAGGGAGCCTGATGTGGGACTCGATCCTGGGACTCCAGGATCATGGCCTAAGCCGAAGGCAGTCGCTTCACCAACTGAGTCACCCAGGTGCCCAATTGCAATTATTTTTAACCCTAAAATACAAGTATCACAGCAAACAAAATTAGCAATAAATCCATAATATGATTTACTACCTGGTTCAATTTTTGGTTTTGGTTATGTCAGAAATGTCTTTATTGTAGGTTTGTTGAAATAAGAATCCAAACAGTGTATACATGTTACATTTAGTTGTCATATCTATTAAGTCTCTTAAAATATCTGTACTTTTTTTTTTTTTAAGATTTTTTAAAATTTGTCAGAGAGCGAGAGAACACAAGCAGGGGGAGCGGCAGGCTGAGCAAGGAGCCTGATGCGAGACTCGATCCCAGGATACTGGGATCATGACCTGAGCCAAAGGCAGACGTTTAACCGACTGAGCCAACCAGGCATCCCAAAATATCTGTACTCTAAAATGGTTTCTTAGATACTTAGTGTAACCTATAAAAGCTAGTATGACTTTTCACTGTAATGAAATATAGTGTTCTTGTGTGGTATGGAAGAATGTGAAGGACCAGATCTTTTTTTTTTTTTAAGATTTTATTTATTTATTTGACAGATAGAGACACAGCAAGAGGGAACACAGGCAGGGGGAGTGGGAGAGGGAGAAGCAGGTTCCCCACTGAGCAGGGAGCCCGATGGTGGGGCTCGATCCCAGGACCCTGGGATCATGACCTGAGCCGAAGGCAGACGCTTAACGACTGAGCCACCCAGGCACCCCGTGAAGGACCAGATCTTATCAGAAATGGACTAAGTCCCTCACCTGGGCGAAAGGAGCCTCCTTGTTCTTGCCAGCATTTGTATTTTTAATGAGCAACAAGAATGAAAACTAGCTTGTCTAAGAAACTGAAGGGCCACATATTTAAGACAAATACTTTTGCTGCTCTTAAGATGAACAATGTAAGAAGAAATTTGGGTAAACTTTTTAAAAGATGTGCAGTATATTAATTTATATTATATTTTAGGGGCTCATGGGTGGCTCAGTTGGTTAAGCGTCCAACTCTTAATCTCAGCTCAGGTGTTGATCTCAGGATCTTAAGTTCAAGCCCTATATTGGGCTCCATGCTCAACTTAAAAATACAGAATGTGTGCATATATGTGTATATGTATATGCATATGTGTACATACATACACATATATACATACACACATATAATATTTTAGAATTGCTAAATGGTAATTTTTTGACCTATTTTTGTTAAAATCATCTACAAAGTTCACTATAAGAACATGAAAAGGTTTGTATATACTTTCAAATATTTTTTTATATACCATTTCCTATGTGATTTATGTAACTTTATATAGGTGTAGTGAGTTTTGGATTGCTGTATTATTGCAGGGTTTTGTTGATTGTTTGGGTTATGCATAATGTTTTCATTTGAGTAGGGTCTGTTTTCATGCTAATTAAACATTGGGTGGATTAAGCATTTATTTTGGGACAATTTCCATAATACAAAAGTAGTTCTTTATATTAACTCTTCACAGATATTTTTATATATATATGTATATGGAAAAACTTGATGCAATACTCTTCTGAATTTGTTTGTAGGCTTCCTGGCAACACTAGGACAAAAATTGGCTTCATTACATTTGATAGTACAATCCACTTCTACAGTCTTCAAGAAGGTCTCGCTCAACCTCAGATGCTAATCGTTTCAGATATTGAAGGTATATACTATATACTTATTGAAACGTCTTAGGAGTTTTCAGTTTTATAAATATATCATGAATATTTGACAGTATGTATGTATGTTTGGGGTGTATGATATGACTGTACTATATTGAGGAAAAAGACCTTGAGTATAAAATCATAAGCTTATTGGAATTGTAAGAGTCCTTTAGTCCAATCCCTCATTTTATAGAAGAGAAAACAGTAATGGAGGTAAAGTGAATTCTGAGGCAACAAAAACAAGTTAATGTTCAAACTCTGATTAAATGTAGGTTTCTTTTTCCCTTCTCATTCATTTATTCAAAAAGTACTTGAGGAGAGACATATAAGAGGGATGGAATAGAATAGAGGGCCCAGGAATAAACCCTCACATATATGCTGAACTGATTTTTTTTAAGATTTTATTTATTTATTTGACAGAGAGAGCACAAGTAGGCAGAGCAGGAGGGAGAGGGAGAAGCAACCTCGGGATCATGACCCGAGTTGAAGGGTCAGTTCCTTAACCGACTGAGCCACCCAGGCGCCCTTGAATTTTTTTTTTTTTTTTGAGAGAGGAAGAGAGGGTGCATGTGGGCACAAGTCTGGGGGAGGGGGCAGAGGGAGAGAGAGAGAATCCCAAGCAGGCTGCACGCCCAGTGTGGGGCCCAACATGGGGCTCAAGCCCACGACCCTGAGATATGACCTGAGCTGAAATCAAGAGTTGGGCGTTTAACCGACTGAGCCACCCACGAGTCCCTATGCTGAATTGATTTTTGACAAGGATACCAAGACTATTCAATGGGGAGAAGACAGTCTTTTTAACAAATGGTTCTGGGAAAAGTAAACATGCAAAAGAATGAAGTTGGACCCTCCTTACCTTAAAGCATATTAAAAAGGAGGGAAGGGCACCTTGCTGGCTCATTCAGTTGAGTGTCTTTGGCTCAGGTCATGATCCCAGGGTCCTAGGATCAAGCCCCACATCAGAGAGCCTGCTTCTCCCTCTGCCTACCCCTGCCCATGTTTGCTTGCTCTCTCTCAAAAATTCTTTTTGAAAAATCTTAAAAAAAAAAAATAAAGAGGAGAGGCCTGTGGGGCTCAGGCCCCATACTGGGCATAGACCTTACTTAAAAACAAACAAACTGAAAAATGGTTAAGGTGTTTTCTATATTATATATACTTTACCACAGTTAAGAAAAATTAACTCAAAATGGATCATAGACTGGAGTGTGAGATTAAAACTGTTAGAAGAAAGGAGAAGTAAATCTTGGTGACCTTGGATTAGGTTGTGATTTCTTAGATATAACACCAAAAGTACAAACAACAAAATAAAAAATAGCTGCACCTGGCTGGCTCAGTTGGTAGAGCATCTGACTCTTGATCTCAGGGTCATGAATTTGAGCCCCACACTGGGTGTAGAGATTACTTTAAAAAAAAAAGGGGGGGAGGGAATAGATAAATTTGGCTTCTTTAAAATTAAAAAATAATTTTTTAAAATACTTATTTTAGAGACAGAGCACACAGTAGGGGGAGGGTCAGAGAATAGGGAGAGAATCTCAAGCTGACTCTCCACTGAGCATGGAGTCCGACGTGGGGCTCGATTTCACGACCCTTAGATCATGACATGAGCCTAAATCAAGAGTTGGCTGCTTAATCAACTGAGCCACCCCAGGTGCCCCCCAAATGAAAAACTTTTGTGCTTCACCATCAAGTATGTAAAAAGACAACCCACAGAATGAGAGAAAATATTTGCAAATCATATATCTGATCATGAATTTATATCTAGGGGCATCGCACCTGGGTGGGTCAGTCAGTTGAGCTGCCTTTGGCTCAGGTCATGATCCCAGGGTCCTGGGATCAAGGCCTGCATTGGGCTCCTTGCTCAGTGGGGAGCCTGCTTCTCCCTCTGCCTATTGTGCCTCCTACTTGTGCATGCGCACTCTCGCTCTCTTTCTATTTTTCTCTCTCTGTCAAGTAAATAAAATCCTTATTTTATTTATTTGAGAGAGAGAAGAGAGAGAGAGCACAAGCAGGGTTAGGGGCAGAGGGAGAAGCAGACTCCGCACTGAGTGGGGAGCCCAATGGGGGGGCTCGATCCCCGGTCTCTGAGATCATAACCTGAGCCGAAGGCAGACACTTAACCAACAAAGTCACACAGGTGCCCCAATAAATAAAAATCTTTTAAAAAAAGTGTAGGAATTTATATCTAGATTATATAAAGAACTTCTACAACTAAACAAGAAAAAGACAATTTAAAAAGTGGGTAAATGGTTTGAATAGATGTGTCTCTATTCAGTTCACGGTATTAAATATTTTCTATAAACAGTTGGCTGATAAGCACTTGAAAATGTGCTCTATATCAGAAGTTATCAGGGAAATATAAATGAAAACCACAATGAGACTAATTAGAAAATCTCAAAATCAAAACTCAAATTGTTTTGGTGCTCTGAGCATGTCTATGAATGTCCATAGAAGCAGCATGGGCGCTTGGGTGGCTCAGTTGGTTAAGCGACTGCCTTCGGCTCGGGTCATGATCCTGGAGTCCCGGGATCGAGTCCCGCATCGGGCTCCCTGCTCAGCGGGGAGTCTGCTTCTCCCTCTAACCCTCCCTACTCTCATGTACTCTCTCTCTCTCTCATTCTCACTCTCTCAAAATAAATAAATAAATCTTTAAAAAAAAAAAAGCAGCATGAGTATTGGTTTTGAGGTTACAAATAAATTTTAGTGAGTAGGGGTGCCTCGGTGGCTCACTTGGTTAGGCGTCTGCCTTCAGCTCAGGTCATGATCCCAGGGTGCTGGCATTGAGTCCCACATCAGGCTCCCTGCTCAAAGGGGAGCCTGCTTCTCCCTCTCCTGTTCCCCCTGCTTGTGCTCTTTCTCTCTGTCAAATAAATAAGTAAATAAATAAAATCTTAAAAAAAATTTTTTAGTGAGTAGGCAAATTTGCAAATATAGAATCCACAAATAGTGAGGATTCACTATACATCTTTAAGGGCAGTGGTTGAGGAGAGCCCCCTTCTGTCTTGGGTGTTCTAAATCTCACAACAAACCAGCCAGGTTATTCATTCATTCCCTAACCTATTCACCCAGATACTTATTTTGCATGAAATAAAATCACTGAACAGGTGATTCTGAAGATGGGCCAAATTGTGAATTCACTGATAAGGTCCACCCTCTCAGTTTTGTACATAAGCTGATAGATGGAGTGTCCCTTGCTGGATGTCACATAGCGGAGGTTAAAAAAAAGACAGTAACAAGTAAAGTATTTGCAAGGAAGTGGAGAAATTGGAACCTTCATACACTGCTAGTTGGGATGGAAAATGTTGCAGCCACTATGGAAAACAGTCTGCCACTTCCTCCAAAAGTCTTAGAGTTAAACCATATGACCCAACAATTCTACTCAAAATGTATATACTCAAGAAAAGTAAGAAAATATGCACATGGATGTTAATAGCAACACAGCCGAAAAGTGGAAACAACCCTAATGCCTATTATTTGGTGAATGGATAAACAAAAAGTATATCCATATAATGAAATATTATTTGTCAACAAAAAAAAATAAAATACTGATAGGTGCTGCAATATGAGTGAACCTTGAAAACATCATGCAGAGTGTCAGAAGCCAGTGACAAAGTACTTCATACCGACTGAGCCACCCAGGCGCCCTATTAAACATTTTTTTAAGGGGCACCTGAGTGGCTTAGTCAGTTGAATTGTCTGCCTTCGGCTCAGGTCATGATCCTGGGGTCCTGGGATCGAGCCCCGCATCGGGCTCCCTGATCAGTGGGGAGTCTGTTTCTCCCTCTCCCTCTGCCCCTCTCACTCATGCTTTCTCTCTCAAATAAATAAATAAAATCTTAAAAAAAATTTTTTTAATTTAATTTTTTTTAATTTAATTTTTAAAAGATTTATTTGAGAGAGAGCTAGAGAGCGCATGGGGGGGTGGAGGGGCAAAGGGAGAGGGAGAGAGAGTCTTAGGCAGCCTCCATGCTAAGTGTGGAGCCCAACATGGGGCTTGAGATCACGACCTGAGCAGAAACCAAGAGTCAGACGCCCCACCGACTGTGCCCTCCAGGAGCCCCAAAATGTTTTTTAATTTTAAAGAAAAAAGAGAAAATCTAGTCAACTGTAGATTTTTTTTAAAAGCTATAATTTATTTTAGAGAGAGAGAGGTGGGGAGGAGGAAAGGGAGAGGGGAGAGAGAGAAGCATACTCCCTGCTGAGCAGGAAGCCTGATGTGGGGCTCAATCCCAGGACCTCTGCAGAGATCAAGACTGGAGCCGAAGGTAGACGCTTGACCAACTGAGCCACCCAGGTGCCCCGACTATAGAATTTTTATGTGACAGCTAAAGTAAACATTTAATGTTACAAATAATTTTTTGGTATTTTTTTTTTTAAGATTTTACTTATTTATTTGACAGAGAGAAAGAGTACAAGCAGGGGAAGCAGCAGGTAGAGGGAGCAGGGAGCTGGATGTAGGGATCGATCCTGGGACCCTGGGATCATGACCAGAGCTGTAGGCAGTCACTTAACCGACTGAGCCACCCAAGCGCCCCTTTTTGGTATTATTTTTTACAAACATTAATAAGCCTTTAAAAAAAAAAAGTACCATAATGTAGAAAGTAAGACTTCTTGTAATCCTTCACCACCACCCACAGTTTGCTTCCTTTTAAAGGAAGAGAATTTAATTCCTAAGTAAAAATAAATTTGAATCCTGAGGAGCTCATCTGAAGTGGTCAGTTAGCATACCTTCTCATTTACTTGATTTTTTAGTCCCGTAAGTATAGGCTGTAGTGGGGACCTTCTTTATGAGACAGTATGTGCTTTTTGAGTGACAGAGGTATTGTCGGGCTATATTACTTCTTTGTAAAGACATAGCAGTCTTGTGTGTCATCTTAGTCAACATTTTTTTTTTTTTTAAATGCCAAGACCACTGGTTTTAAGGGCTAAGCAAGAATGTAAAGTAAGTAGGATTCTAAACTGTTGTCTTAAATACTGAGTGTTTACAGATCAATACTTTCTAATTAGGAGGCTGTTTACCTTTTACATGGTAATAAGTTGCAATAAATACCTAAATCAATGCTGCTTTGGTGGCTTTTGAACATATGTAGACAGTGCTATATATAATAGAGGAGGTCGCTTTTCTTTAAATTATGGTGGTAGTTAATTTTTTTTTAAGAATTTATTTGTCAGAGAGAGAGAGAGCACAAGCCAGGGGAGAGGCAGGCAGAGGGAGAAGCAGGCTCCCTGCTGAGCGAGGAGCCCGATGCTGGACTTGATCCCAGGATTCTGGGATCGTGACCTCAGCCGAAGGCCGACGCTTAACCGACTGAGCCACCCCGGCATCCCTGGGGGTCGTTAATTATATCAGTGTTAAGTGTTTAGAACATCTTTAACAATTACGTTTTGTTTAAAAGAAATACTTATTTATTTTTTCAGATGTTTTTATACCTATGCCAGAGAACTTATTAGTAAATTTAAATGAAAGTAAAGAGGTAAGTTAACATTTTCTTATCTGACACATTTTTTTGAAATACTGAAAGAATGTATTTTCAAAATGAACTTTAAGTAAAGTTTTGTTTCTTTCTGAGGCATTTCTAAGATGTGTAACATTTTATATTTGCTGTTAGTTAAAATTCATCAGATGAATAGATCTCGAGTTTACCCTTGAACCGATGGCTTTTAAGTCTAATGTAGCAAGATACTTGTAATAGGGTAGAAGATAAGCCTATTTCATAAAGGAAAACCTGAAGGAAACCTGCCTTGCCACCATTTGGGAAATTGGGAGGGTTGCTCAGATAAGCTTCTGGTCACTACGTAGAAGCACTTTAGCTAGGCTGCTTTCAGTGCCCTTTGCTTTTCTGATTCACAGAGTGTCATTGGGGTCAGTTCAGAAGAAACTTATTACCTGCCTGGAAATTGCCATGACATAATACAGTGAGAGGTGAACAGAATGTGTCTGAAGGGGGGATGTTGTCTACCCTGTACATGCATATATGCCGTAGGGGTAACATTTTAACTAGCAAGTCTATGGTCTCAGCTGTTGGCAACAGTGACTTCACCGTAGTGTGAAGTACTTTTTTTCCCTTTAACTTTCTTTATTTGTACAACCTAACCTGAATAGGTAGTTTTTCATTTTGTTTTTCTTTTGTAGTAGTATTACTAGTTGGAAAATTTACTGGCTATCTTAGACTTTTCAGTAGGGAAGAGTTAAATCACTTTGGAACTGAAAAGAATAAAGTGTGTAGAGGTGATTGAGAAGGCCATGTTTGATGGCATTATAAAAGAAATCAAATCTAAACTGTGATGGTTCTTTTGGATACATTTTGGACTTATAGTCTTGCTGGACTACTGCATGTGCAAGAACTGTAAGGCCCCAATTTTGAATTGTCTTGCTTGCCAATTTATAATGTTGACTTAAAATGGCTTTCTTGTCATTTGACCAACTTCATTGTTTACTGTACTGTGTGTAGATTCTCTGACCATCATCATGACTCAGTGTCTTGTCTACTGTATTAGTTACTGACTTTTTGTGGAAGAAGTTTTTAATTGTTAACATCTTTGAGTTTTCTTGCTTTATTTTATAAGCTCGTTCAAGATTTACTGAAAACATTGCCACAAATGTTCACCAAGACCCTGGAAACCCAGAGTGCCTTGGGTCCTGCACTTCAGGCTGCCTTTAAGCTGATGTCGCCAACTGGTGGTCGAATGTCCGTCTTTCAAACACAACTTCCTACTCTTGGAATGGGAGCCCTGAGGCCACGAGAGGAGCCCAACCAAAGGTCATCTGCTAAGGTTAGAAAGTCATCAAATGTATGTTACCATATATGCTGGTGCTCTGCTCTGTCCCTTTGACCACAAAATCTGTTTTTCATTTATTTTTCAGTTCTGGAGAGGAGGGAGTATAAGGAAATAGACAAAGCATTTCTCTTTTATGCCGAAATTTCTGTTTTGTTACACTTGTCACCTGATTCACTCTTACCTTATTTTTGGATCTTCAGCAGGCCGCTAGCAGTGCAGACTGCCTTTGATGAGAAAGTCTTGCAGTCTCAAGAATATGCCTTTTAGGAACAAAGTAGAATGTGGATGACCACTAAAAAGTAGTCTGCCGTATTGAGTGCCATGGATTGCTTTTGAGCACTTTGTGTATATAAATTTGGTTTGAGATGTGTATTTTTCAAGAGATGATGAGAGTTGCTGTATTTGCTGTATACTATAACGATGATGGGGTCAGTCTGTCTAAATTCTGCTTTTTGTTTTGTTTTATTTTTTTTTTAAGATTTTATTTATTTGTCAGAGAGAGAGAGCACAAGCAGGGGGAGCGCCAGGCAGAAGGAGAAACAGGCTCCCTGCTGATCAGGGAGCCCAATGTAGGGCTCGATCCCAGGACCTTGGGATCATGACCTTGCCAAAGGCAGATGCTTAACGACTGAGCCACCCAGACATCCCTCTCCTGCTTTTTAGATGTACGAACTTGAAGAGTTAATTTCTTTGCCCTTCTGTTTCCTTATGTTTATTTATAAAGTGAAAATAATTATGAGACCTGCTTCTTATAATAGTTCAAAGGACCACCTAGATAGTACACATGAATTGTTTAAAACAGTTTCCAGCACTCTAAGCATTTAATAGATTATTGAAATTAGCATAATAGATGTATTTCTTTTTAAAAGTAGAAAATAGAAAATTCTTTTTTTTTTTTTTTTAAGATTTTTATTTATCCGACAGTGAGAGACACAGCGAGAGAGGGAACACAAGCAGGGGGAGTGGGAGAGGGAGAAGCACGCTTCCCGCGGAGCAGGGAGCCCAATGCAGGGCTCGATCCCAGGACCCTAGGATCATGACCTGAGCCGAAGGCAGACGCTTAACGACTGAGCCACCCAGGCGCCCCAGAAAATAGAAAATTCTTAAGCAGTATATGTTTTTTACTGAGAAAATGAAGAACCGAAAAGAAAGGATTTTTAGAATGCCCAGGGATAATTGTTAACATCTTGGTATATATAGATAGGTTTTCAAAATTTTATGACAATTTAATAATTAAAAATTTGTTTCTTCATGTAATTTATTATTAATAGGAAATTCACTTGACACCATCGACTGACTTTTACAAGAAACTAGCCTTGGATTGTTCTGGTCAGCAGGTAGCCGTGGACTTATTCCTTCTCAGTGGACAGTATTCTGACTTGGCTTCTCTGGGTGAGTTCTTCCTCATGATTATTTTTCTGAAGTGAATGTGAAAATGGTATTTATATGATGATATTCTAAATAAAGGACAAAATGAAGGAATTTTTATTCCCTTGGGAGAATTAATGAGTCTATTATAAACCTTTTGGTCTTCTAAACGTTTATTTATATCTAAATATTTATAATAGAGATATTTTTATACTACTATTTAAAAGGATGAGATACTCTTTTTTTGAAAATACTTTGGGAGGCTAAGGCAAGATTGATTCAAACACCAGTAGTTTTTTTCATGCATAATAGTTAATTGCAGAATTTTTAAAAAGTGTGTGTTTTCTTCCAGGTTGTATTTCTCGGTATTCAGCAGGTAGTGTGTATTACTATCCTTCTTACCACCATCAGCAGAATCCAGTACAAGTACAGAAATTCCAGAAGGAACTACAGAGATACCTCACTCGAAAGATTGGCTTTGAGGCAGTAATGAGGATTCGGTGCACAAAAGGTGGGGGGCACTTTTCTTTTCACACTTACATAGATATATTGCTTTTGATACCAGTAAATAGACATTTTCAGCTAGTCTTATTTCATAAGGTTTGCTCTTCTAAGATATTTTACTTACACTGATGGAATATGAAATTAAGAATAGGGAAGGAGAGGTATCTTGCTGGCTCAGTTGCTGGAGCATGCAACTCTTGATCTCAGGGTCTGGAGTTCACGTCCCACGTTGGGTGTGGAGCCTACTTAAAAAAATAAAAGAAGAAACATTATAAAAGAAAATAGGGACTATTTTGAATGTACTGAAAACCACTGCATTGTACATTGTATGTGTGATTTTTATGGTATTTGAATTATATCTCTCATTTAAAAAAAATCATATCTCCCTCCACCCCCACATCCAAATAAGCATGGATTTTTATTCCATTTATTGACAGTAGTAATGAAAGGTCTTTTTTTTAAACAGTTATTTTTTTATTGTGGTAAAATATACTTAACATAAAATTTACCACTTTAACCATTTTTAAGTATACAGTTGAATAGCATTAAGTATATTTTCATTGTTGTACAACCATCCCCACCATTCATTTCTAGAAGTAGCAGGTCTTTTTTTTTTTTAAAAGATTTTATTTATTTATTTAAGAGAGAATGAGAGATAGAGAGCACGAGAGGGAAGAGGCTCAGAGGGAGAAGCAAACTCCCTGCTGAGCAGAGAGCCCGATGCAGGACTCGATCCCAGGACTCCAGGATCATGACCTGAGCCGGAGGCAGTCGCTTAACCAGCTGAGCCACCCAGGTGCCCGAAGTAGCAGGTCTTTTAATTTGTGCTCTTCTCAGTCTGCCTGCTACTAACAGCTGTCAGACTATTTGAAAATAGTCTGACAGTTTCAGAATGCTTTAATCCAATTTGTTTTGCAGGATAAATGCCTGTAGCTGCTAAATGATACTACTTTCTTAGGAAAATGGGAAATAATTCTTGATATTTTATTCCTTCACATTATCAACCTGGTTCTCATCTTTTATTCAGATTTTAAAATAATGTTTTCTGGGACACCTAGGTGGCTCAGTCAGTTAAGCATCTGCCTTCGGCTCAGGTCATGATCCCAGGGTCCTGGGATTGAGCCCCACATCAGACTCCCTGCTAAGCTTCTCCCTCTGCCTGCTGTTCCCCTTGTTTGTGCTCTCTCTCTCTCTGACAAATAAAATCTTTAAAAATAAATAAATAATGTTAAGAGGTGTGAAGCAATCATTTTTTGAAGTGGAAAGATTATATGAAATAGCTAGCCAAAAAGAAGATATCAAAAGATAAGGAACCACGGACATGTCCACTAGATAGATGTTGAAATCTTTGGTCAAACCATGTGCCAAATGAAGTTCTCTATTATCTGTCACTGTAATAAAAAGAAAAAATGGTTGAGTAAAACAACTGACAATGCCTTTGTAATATCTTATGTAAAGTGTCAAACTCTTCTATAACGTTGCCACATCTCCAAACAACTCAGGTAGTAGTGTCACTCATAACCAAGTAGTTATCACAGTAGCTTTCTGTTTCTGTTTCTTTTTGTGCTCTGATTGGCTGGCTATAGATTGGAGGTTCCTACTACCCCCTCTTTGGGTTCAAGTAATTTGCCAGAGCAGCTTACAGAACTCAGAGAATCATTTTACTTTCTAGATTACTGGTTTATTATAAAAGGATATAACTCAGGAATAGTCAGATGGAAGAGATGTATAGAGCAAGGTATAGAGAAAGGGAAAGGGTATGCGAGCTTCTGCAGCTTCCATGTTCTCTGAGCGCTCCACTCTCCCCAAATCTCCATGTGTTCACCAATCTGGAAGCTTTCCAAAGGAGCCCATCCTACTGGGTTTTTATGAAGCCTTCTTTACATAGTCATGGCTGATTAAATTATTGGCCATTGATGATGGACTGAACCTCCAGTTCCTCTCCCCTCCCCGAAGGATGTTGGTGGGGTACAGTTTGGACTGTAATTTCCAACCTTCTAATTACATGGTTGGGTCCTCTGGTAATCAGCCCCCATCCTTTGGTTACATAGGTGCTTACCAAAAGTCACTCCATCAACAGTAGAAGACACCTTTGTGAATTTCATTACTTAGATCATCCTAAGAGTTTAGGAGTTCTGTGTTAGAAATGAGTGAAGATCAAGTACATATTTCTTATTATAAATCACAGTGTCACATCTAAACTTTTTTTTTTAAGTAGTCTACACACCCAGCATGGGGCCCAGTGAGGGGCTTGAACTCAAAACTCTCAGATCAAGAGCTGAGCTGAGATTAAGAGTCGGATAGTTGGGCGCCTCGTTAAGTGTCTGCCTTCGGCTCGGGTCATGATCCCAGGGTCCTGGGATTGAGCTCCGCATCGGGCTTCCCGCTTCACGGGAAGCCTGCTTCTCCCTCTACCACTCCTCCTGCTTGTGTTCTTTCTCTCGCTGTGTCTCTCTCTCTCAAATAAATAAGATCTTTAAAAAAAAAAAAAAGAGTTGGATACTTAACCGACTGAGCCACCCAGGTGCCCCTCACATCTAAATTTTTTTTTTTAAGATTTTATTTGAGAGAGAGCAAGAGCGAGAGGAAGAACACGCACAGAGGGAGAGGGAGAAGCAGACTTCCTGCTGAACAGGGAACCCAACATGGGTCTTGATCTCAGGACCCTGAGATCATCACCTCAGCTGAAGGCAGACCCTTAAACAACTGAGCCAACCAGGCGCCCCACATCTAAACTTTTAAATTTACTCTCTGTCAGTCTGATAAATGACAAGGATAAAATGTAAATGTATGTATATTGGTGTATGTAAATCATTTTGATAATTTTTCTCTTCTAGGTCTTTCCATTCATACTTTCCATGGGAACTTCTTTGTTAGGTCAACAGACTTACTGTCTTTGCCTAATGTAAACCCAGATGCTGGGTATGCAGTACAGATGTCTGTGGAGGAGAATCTTACGGACACTCAGTTGGTTTCCTTTCAGTCTGCACTCTTGTATACATCCAGCAAAGGTAAGTTGGGTTGGTTGGTTTGTTTGTTTTTATTGTGGCGAAGACACATACATGAGATTACACTTTTAACAGATTTTTAAGTTTACAATCCAGTATTGTTAACTATAAATACAGTGTGTTGTGGCAAAGGTAAGTTTTTTGATTTGGTCATGTATTCTTTGTCTTATAATGAATGTCCTCTCTTGTGGAGATACTCATTTCTATTACACCAAAAGAGTATTTCTCATCTTAAGAGCTTTGTTGCTATTCCTGGTAAAACCAAGATGTGTTGTATTTATTTTTCTTAGCCACTGTTTTTAACAGATATTTACTGAGAGTCTACTTAGTATCAGGCTGACTGTTTAGAAAAATCTTAGTATTGTCAGATTGCTTTTCAGAAAGATTTCACCAGTTCATGGTCCCATCAAGTGCCCTTTCCATTTTAGCCTCTGATTTTGTGTGTGTGTGTGTGTGTGTGTGTCTGCATCTCTCTCAGTCTCTCTGTATGTTTAGTTGTTGCCGATAGGCTAATCATTATATCTGTTTTCTTTTAGCTCTCTGTTGTCTAGAATAGAAAGTCTAAAGTGTTACCCTTTTTTGCAGATATTACTTCTTTTTAAAAGTAATTTGTATGAGCTCCTCATGTACATTTTCATCAGTCTTTATGTATTAGTACAGGTTGTAGTATGAATATCATCTGTAGGTCTTCTTTACTTGTTCTTTTTCATTGGTATTCAAGGTCTTGCTGGTTAGAAATTTTTAAAAAGTTGAGGGGCGCCTGGGTGGCTCAGATGGTTAAGCGTCTGCCTTCAGCTCAGGTCATGATCCCAGGGCCCTGGGATCGAGCCCCACATTGGGCTCCTGGCTCAGCAGGGAGCCTCCTTCTCCCTCTGCCTCTCTCCCTGCTCATGCTCTCTCTCTCTCTGTATCTCTGTGTCTCAAATGAATAAATAAAATCTTAAAAAAAGACTTCTTAAAAAGTTGATATAATATTTGATATTTGATGGTTATCAAAAAGTTTTCATTTTTGTTTCTATATTTTGTTATTGTAGGTAATTACTAAAGAGAAAATATTGTATTAATTGATTACAAAGTTTTTTCTGTGATTAAAGAGGAAAGTATAAAATTTCTTTGGACTTTAAATGTCAAAACACTCTAGAACACATGTGGAAGTAATGTTGTCATTATGTATATTAATTCAAAATTTGTATTAGCAAAAAAGATAAAGTAACCAAAAGGTTCAGAAAAGAGATTTTTTTTAAGATTATATTTATTTATTTGACAGAGAGACATACAACAAGAGAGGGAACACAAGCAGAGGGAGTGGGAGAGGGAGAAGCAGACTCCCCGCTGAGCGGGGAGCCCAATGTGGGGCTCTACCCCAGGACCCTGAGATCATGACCTGAGGCGAAGACAGATGCTTAACGACTGAGCCACCCAGGTGCCCCCAGAAAAGAGATTTTTAAACTAGCATGTTACCATTATTTGATCATGATCCCTTTTTAGTAGTAACTTGAACAAAATGAATTTTTTTTTTTTAAGATTTTATTTATTTATTTGAAAGAGAGAGACACAGTGAGAAAGGGAACATGAGCAGGGGGAGTGGGAGAGGGAGAAGCAGGTTTCCTGCCGAGCAGGGAGCCCGATGTGGGGCTCGATCCCAGGACCCTGGGACCATGACCTGAGCCGAAGGCAGACGCTTAACAACTGAGCCACCCAGGCGCCCTTGAACAAAAAGAATTTTTTAAAAAATTTTATCTGAGAGAGAGGCAGCCGAAGGCAGACGCTTAACAACTGAGCCACCCAGGCACCCCTACAAAAAGAATTTTGTAATCAAAAAATAAGAGGGTGCCTGGGTGACTCAGTCGATTAAGCATCTGCCTTTGGCTCAGGTCATGATCCTGGGGTCCTGGGATCGAGTCCTACATTGGGCTCCCTGCTAAGTGAGCAGTCTGCTTCTTCCTCTACCCTTCCTCCCTGCTCATGATCTCTCTCTCTCTCTCTAATAAATAAATAAAATCATTAAAAAGAAA